GAAAATCGACTTACAAAGAACCTCAGAATAAAATAAATCCTATTTACGTCTTGAAACTTTTTACTTGGAAAATAGTTTTCAAAAGTTACGACGGGACAATACTTTTTCCTTGGAAAATAGTGTTCAAACGTTACGAAGGGACAAAACGTTTTAAAGGTGGGTTATCACGCTAACATTTTTGTGACAAATTTGATTATATATAACTGATTAGGATTTTTGGCGTTCACCGATTGCATAAAATGGATTTCGTTTGCGAGACTCAAATTTTTAAAAGTCAACCCTGCCGAAATCGAACGCAAATTAGTATGTCCCGTTGATGACGTAATATTGAGAACTCGTCGGCGAATTTTTGCATTAGGTCAAAGGCAATTATGGCGTTCTGTGTACTTATTTTGAACCGTATGCTAGTTCTATTGGACGAGGCATTTGGAAAACGCTTCAGTGGTTTAAATACATTCCAATACCTTCAAATAATATCATTGCATCATCAAGAAATTACAGTAAACTCAACTAATTGAGGTCAAAAAGCACTCGAGTTTTGTGCCGGACCTTTTGCTGCAACATATTTTCCTGTGAAATAACGCACACCAGGCTGTTTTTTTTTTGTCTCGAATCATCTAGATTTTATAATTTATGTGGGTTTATTCTGCTTTTCTGATCGTATAACCAAACTTTTTGTTATATTGTCGGTATATACACTATACAGAATTAGCATACGGTACCGTTATATCTGCTTTCAAACACTAGCGGATGGGATGTGTCAGTCAGTATGTAGTTGGTGGTTACAGCTGAACTCACAGTGATGGGTTGTCCCGAAGCCTGAAACAAGAAACAAACTATGGATCGAATTTTCTCAGGCAACCTGTTCTGATGCCTCCATAGAACTCAAAGGAGACTTCTAATTCGAAGAATTGTTTCAGCTTTAAAATTTTATTGGAATTCATGCAAACTCCAGCCCACAGCCCGAAACAATATAACCTGACGCAGTTTATCAAATCAGTTTTATTTATTTTTAACATTTTATTATGAGTGTTCATCATATGTAATTTATTCATGTAAATAAATGTTTTCACGAAGCTCCATTAGTTGATCGCTGACAGCTGAGCTGTGTTGTTAAATAGCGGTGTGAGCTGGAAAACAAAGTATACAATTTAAATTGATAGAACTGGCATAAAAGAGATCAGCATAATATCACCAAACAGATTAGTGATGTTCAGCAATCAACAGTAATAATTTGGAATGAATAAAAAAATAAATCCTTACTGGTATGACGACCCTTGTTTTATCTTTTAAATGTTGTCATGTGATAATATTGCTATATTTTTAACACTGAAGACCCTGAGGACGCTGTGACACTGTCGATTTGTTTTTTGATATCCTGTTAGCCTATGCTGGGGTTTGCAGCAGTGCAAGTGTGATTGTTTCAGTTAGATTTTGAGTGTTTAAGGGTATTTTATATCTGCCAAAGTGCCTCTAAGTCTCAAATAGGTTATCAAAGATGTTTACTCTTGGTTTTACGACTATTAGATTGGGATTGTTAGATATTTTGATGCTAGACAGTAGGATGATATTATTGTTTAGTACCGGTACAGTGCAATCACAGTTGTTTTGGCGTTGTATTTTTAGTTTATTCATGAAATTGGCTATCAACAGCGCTGTTCAAATCTTGTGCACCTGTGGAATTGTTTGTGTTTTTTTAAAGTGCCCGTCATGAGTTATTCTTAGCGTATTTTGCAAATTGTAAGTAGCTGGTTTAGTTTACCAGATTATAGGGGTTATTTTGGCTGCTATTGAAAGTTGTCTTTGATTTCAGGGTCCGTATTTAATTTTTATTGTTTTCTCATATTGTACTGCCTGGTATTTGTTATTTTTATTGTATGCTTTTCGTTTCATTGGAGTGTTTGGTTGTATTAAGATTGTAATTAATAAATAGATTAAAATAGTATAAATTGAAGTGAATATTGGGAGGAAACTTGACGTCAGATCATATTGGAAGATATTCTGAACTTGGATAATTATTACATAGACTGCCGGTACGCTACACTGGTTATTCTACTCACTTGGTCACTCACTTGGTAAATGTATCAATTTGTACTGTTCAGACGCTAGAGTTGCAACTTAAACCATGTGAAAAGTTGTTTTATATAACAGTTTAACATGCTAGCATTAAACATTAACTGGATATTATATCAAACAGCCGAAAAACTTAGTAAGGTGGTTGAAACTTACTCTAGAATCATTTTTTCAAGGCCTATTGACGGCCGGTCAGTTCCGGTACGCTCATTGCATAAGAGCATCAGCATCAGAGCTTTCTATACATTGAGATTTCTGTTTTATATTACATTATTGTTTCAATCTTTATGAAACTACGCTATGAGGAACTAATTTTAAACGCCAAAACAAGATAAACCCCCTACTGGCGAAAGCGCGATGAAAGCTAGTGCTTGGACGAGTTCGCACTACTTACGTCATCAAAGTCCATTTCCGTAGGGGTGTCGATTTTCGTTCGAGCGGTTTTTAAAAATTGATAACTAGAAAACTGAGTCCACTTTATGCAGGCGGTAAACGTCAAAATTACTGGAAAATTGTATGGAATCAAATTTTCTACAGACACGTTTGCGTGATAACCCACCTTTAAAACAATATCTAGTTCAATTTATTGCACAACAAAGAGAACAGCATGTATAAATGCTGTGCTAAATGCTTAAACAAATTTTACTGAAATTCGTTTTCTCGTATTTCAGGTTAACAGCTGTGTTGGACCAATAATTGGACTGTGTTGGAATTGGGCCAATAATTATGCAATTCCCTGGTTGAAATGGATACAGTTCATTTTCAGTCTATATTCATTATTTTGCGGTTTCGTATCTTCGCGTTTTATTTGAGCTGACATCGAATTTTCAATTTAATATACCATTTTCGGCTCACTCGGAATTATAGGGAGAGAGTGACTCTACTGCGTGTTCGCTCTCATGTTATTGGATTGACAAACGTTTAATAGAGCGGAACTTCGATGTGAACTCCCCAGAAGTCAATGAGCACACAGTGTATTGAATGCCGAATGTTCGTATATTGAAAGTTCCGCAATCCAATCCGATTACAGATAAATTGAAAATACACTTAACCCTTAATGCTGTGAAAATGGAATAATATCACAAACACAGTATATTTCAGAACTCGGTGAGACCGGAAACATACAATCGCTACAAAGAAGGCCATATACATAAAACCAAGGTTTATCGCTGTAGCAATAATAAAGTGACCTATTTTGGAGAATTCAACATATTAATATTAAATAACATTATAATTCATAGTTACAATCCACATTCGCTACAGAATCTTAGCAGAACATGCCCAAAAGCCACCGAGTTTCTCGTAATCAACCGTTGTGGGAGTCATTCGCTATACTTTGTGAACATCTGACGTGTTGGTAAATCTTCAACTTCAGAATAGTCTGGCTGTGGTGTTTTCATTTTTATTGAAAAAATTTGTTAATTCAGTACTAATTGACACACAATCTAGCAATTTGCACGGTTATAAAGGTAATGACAAAAGCCCCCACCTATTATGCCTACTCTGATGGAGCCAAAAGCTGGTTTACTAAAAGACAGCTAACGGTTACCATCAATTGCATAATAACCGAAATTGACAGTTCTCTGTTTTCAACGTAATTCACACGAGCAGTGACAATATGTGATCTGAGCCTTTCATGTATTCCTAGATTACGACCATCATCATCTAAAACACAGACTACAAACACTAAAGCAACGCATACTGTAGATTATAAGCGACTTAGTACTTATGATGAGGCGCTCTACATGAAGCCTATAACGTGTTGGGCGGTGACACTTCGCGCTATTAGTACCTTTCTTTTATGTATAACCTGCCTGGTTTTTCGATGTTAACAACTCCACAACTTGAATATGATTGAAATCTATTGCAGTCACGTGAAATACGAAATTGTGTGGTGATAAAAAACAAACGATTCCAGTATTGTAGAATGTAGAAGTCCGAATAAATTGATATAGCAATGTCGAGGTCCAATAATCAATTGATTACAACAATATTCAGGTCAAATGATCATTGCTGAGACGCAACGATCAACTGTTGAGGTCGAAATGATCATTGTAGAATACGAATGATCAATTAATTAGGTGTTGAGGGTTGCTAAAGTTCACGACCAACCCAACAGGCAGGTTAACTACATACTTAATTCTAGAATATGCGAACAATAGCAACATAAAAATACAAGATATGCCAAATGAATCGAACCCTATTATTAAACTGATGGACAAGTAAACAAATCCGGCAAATAAATTAGCACTACTTAAACTGCTAACTCTTAACACGGAATAAATGGTAAACAGCCGACTGGCAATTATTCGAAATAATAAACAAACAAAAAAGAGAGAAAAAGAAAAGACCGATAACAGACTTTGTTTACGCTGACATGCTCATTCCTGCCCACGAACAGATGGTGAAATCGCCTTGAAGGGAGTAATTTCCTGAACGGTCATTCGACAAAGTGCAATGACCGATTTTTCTCGAGATAACCCCGGGTCAAATATATATGAAGTAAAACAAAGAAACTTTGTCTGTAACACATACCAATATGTCTTTGCAAAATTTGCTTGCTTTAGGTAGCTGATGGAGTGTTCAGGGAGTGGTTTTGTTTTGAGTATTCAGTTAGAAACATGATAATGGTGATTGCGACATTAATTTCAGTAAATAAGGTTTTATTGCATGACGCATTAACGGGAGAATCTTCATTCTGCTGCACCGATATCGTGTTTGCTAAATAATAACAAATATTTGCAAACGATCTAGTGTCGATAGTACGTTCTCATGTCAGTCCCTTTTTTATCGGGGTGACATGTTTTTAGGTGACCGTACATTTGAACCCACGTACATTTGAACCCATACGTTTGCACCGCGGGTTCAATCTATATGAGGGTGATAAAATCCATGGGTTAGTATGGATTCAAATATCAGTGAAACTAAAAAATTCCATAGGTGCAATAGTATGCAGGTTCAATTGTAATGGAACCTGTTTTTAGATTGAAGTTCCAAATATATTAATTCAAATGTTTTTAGTCGATATTAGTCAAAAAAATTTGTTTGCATCGTGTTCTTACGAAAATCGGTATGGATTTTAGACTAACAGACAAAATCTTTAGGTCTAAACTCTCGTATGTCAGAATTCTCTTTAATAAGATGAGTGATGAGTGAGAAGGCTATTGAATGCTTTGTTTTTTGAAGGAGGAAAGAACTGTCATGCTTAAAATAACATAAATGGATTTAGATCAACTTTTACAAGAAAAATTGGGGGGAATAAGTAGATATCAATGGCTGCTCATTTTTGCTTTGAGTTTGCAACCCTTGGGGAGTTCAATCATGTCTCAAACGAATGTCTTTTTCAGCTCTGTCCCAGATTACAGGTAATGATTTACCTTAATATATAGAATTTGAATTCGATTTATACATAGGTTATGGAGCACTCTGCTTTGGCTGTTTGGTCGAGTTAAACTGTTTTTTGTATTTCAAGTCTTGGATACCAATAACTTTGCAATATTGAAATCTGTTTTAAAACTCTCCTGACATATTATATCTATTCGTGATTTTGCTGTTTGCTTACCATGTAGACTCACCCTCTGCGTGGTACCATTCTATTTGATTAACCAGTGATCGCATCCGTTGAAACACCCCTTTTCATTTGCAATTTGCTGGTAAATTTAGGAAAATTATTATATCGAATGATATGTGTCAAGAATATAAAACGATGTTTAACTACTTTGTTAACAAAATCGAGCAAAGTCATTTATTTTCACATGAGCTATGTCTTCCGAATATTCGTTTCAACTGGCGACAATTGCATTTGTGTTGAATATTAGTATATATATATATATCTATTTTGTGTTCGATGGGTAGCTTTTACATTTTATACATAGATACAAATACTCTTCGTACCTAAGAACGATTTATCTGTCCATTGGATATTCATACCCAACTTGTACGCAGATTTTTTGATATTTCCAGATGTTCAACGCCACCTTTGGATGATCCGAACATTTATCCAGAACTCACGGAAGAAAACATCACAGCGCTCATGATTCCAGTAAGACAGTTAATGCTTTAAAGTTACAGTGGCATGTTTTTTTATTTTATCTATAGAAACACAATTCCAAATTAAAGTTCACCAAAATATTCAACGGTATTTCAATTATCAAATTGTTACATTAATGTTAATTGAGTGTTTTGAATGTTTATCTATATGTAATATTTGAGCCACATTTTCTTTTTCTAGCCCGGGGAGCCGTGCTATAGATATGATTACAATTTATCGAAGTGCAATGGCAATGGAGACCTGTCATGTTTGAATAATTCTGATCCAGGAACCATTGAATGCGATGCAGGTTACGAATACGATGATACATATTTCGAAGAAACTACTGTTTCTGAGGTAGGCATAAGACATCGATAATACAATGTCATATACAATTACAACGTACTTTGGGAATAATTATTGTAGAGTACATACTCAAATTAATGCAAAAGGTAACAAGCCGTGAGTGAAATCTTTATAAGAGATAGCATCAAAATCAACTTTGTTTGAGGTTGTGAATAAATATTACACTTCCTTTTTATTTGCAGTGGGATCTCATTTGTGGACGAACTACACTTGATTCATTAGCAAATTCAATGTATTTTGTTGGTATATTCATAGGCTCATTCCTAATTGGCCCAATGATGGATTGGTAACGAGCATTTAAATACAGCTACTTTATTATCTTTTTTATTAATGTGAAGTTATTTATTTCATTTTTTGAATTTCGAATTCAAGTACAAATATTGAGTGGGACTTTCGTGTTAAATTTTAAACTCCATGTTTTTCTCTCATTTTCTCAAAACATTAATATTGCAAAATATTCCTCTAATTCAGTGGTTCTTAAACTGGGGGGCGCGCCCCCCTAGGGGGGCGCGAGATGCTCTCAGGGGGGGCGCGAGAGGTCACAAGATGGAATCGGAAATTTACATGTAACGGTCTCCGCGTTCGTTAAAAATACCGGCATTTTCATGTTATAATAAATTTTTCTGTCTCGTAATAACTACAATAATTCAAGATGTCTCTCTATTTTAAGTCATTTGTGTTCAAGGTAACTCGCGGTTGCGGCGACTTACGACAAAATAAACTCATTACCTATCTAAAATACCACGCCAATCCGCGGACATAATAAAGTGTGATCAACTGCCCGATTATATTTAGTTTTTATATATATATATTGCACTCATGCGAATTCGTTGTCGTCATTAGAAAGATCTGGTATAATATTCCAGAAAGTATATTTAATTTAGTACAATTAAAATACATGTAAAGTATATATATTAGTAGATGAAAAATACATATTCATCGAAACGAAACCCCCGCTGTACGGCTTTTGAGTCAGTCCTCGAGATTACGCCAGTCGTTAAAAGAGCCGACTTTTTCAACGGATATGTAATGGTTTTTCTGTTGAATAAAATATTCAATCCATGATTGATATACTTATTTAAAATGGTTGCTTTATTTGTTTTGATTTTTATTCTTGCCAATTTCACCAATATGAGCTGTCCTTGCAACTCTTACTCCGCTCTATCGCAATGCCGTCACTCGATTAATTTCAAGATATCACAGTTACAGATATTCCAGAGTCTGCGATCCCACGGAGAAAAATTTATATCAAGTCTGTGGTTTTAGAAAACTACTGGTGTGCCGCACGCACAAGGAATTTATGAGATTTTCAATGTCCAAGAAAGTGTTTTTAATCTGTCGCGGTCCACCCCAAAACAAAACTCATGGCGTTTTCCGTTTTATTTTTAGTATTTTATTAGGCCACTTTTACAATAAATAAATTTTAAGTTACGGATTCACTTTTTTATTCTATCGTTAGCATCTCGTCGTTGATGATTATAATAAAAACTCGTTTTAATAATAAACTCGTTTTCCTCAGAGGTGTCATGGTTCCATTCGAGAACAAAAAAAGTAATTATAATCGTCTTCGCGGCTCAAGAATATGTCGAGGGAAATTTCGGATTTAGGAAGAATAAACACCGAAATCAAGATTTTTAGGGCTTAAATAACACGCCACGCTGACGTAAACAATGGAGATCTGAACAAAATGCAATCGCAAACGCCTTAGCGACAACGATTGATTGAAATTTTACGTGTCTTATGTAAACGTTTAAGCAGAAAATATATATTAGCATAGGTTTATTGCTTGTTTAGTTTTACTTAATAATTAGATTGACTTTGCCAAGCATTGAAAACTGAGCGGAAAAACGAGAATGTATGATGACCAACCACTATTTGGCTTTATACATACGACAGTGAATGGCGAAGATGTACTCCGAAGCGTTTTATGCCTAAACAATCTGAGCAATGACGCTACGAGACCAACACTCAGTTATAGCGCCATCTTAATATATAACAACTTGTCCATCACAAAAGCATTTTTTCAAAGCAAAAAGAGGGGGGCGCGAAGTGTGTAAAATTTTTCAAAGGGGGGCGCGGCTCAAAAAGTTTAAGAACCACTGCTCTAATTATATTGAAAAATATATTCTCTAATTATTGCCTTTTTACATTTTTTAAACAGGTTTGGACGTAAGATGAGTATATTAATACTCACTGTGTATTCAACCATCATTGGAGTTATTCTCGCCTTCGTTCCTTCGTATGAAGTTTACATTAGTATGAGAACTCTCCTGGCAATAGGAGCAACCTCGTCTTATTTGGCATATTATACATACGGTACAATATTTCTGGTTTTCTTAACTGATATTTAGATGAGAAAAGTTTGAACTGTAACATTGTTTAGACGCCATGGAAGATCACTAAATCAGGGTCGTTCAACCTTTTTGGCCGTAGGGCCACATGGAGTTTACTAGTAATTACGCGGGCCACCTAACACCGTAGTTATGTTCTACTTTTGCTACACTGGCTACAGGTTAATAAAAAAAAAAACAATACCCTCACACCAAACTTTCACAATTATAAGAACAATAGAACTGTTGTTTTCCAATCATTGATGGGGCGCCATCAGTGGTTCTTCCTTAAAGTTTGGCCAAAGACAAGCCAAGACGCTTGATCATTTTCATCACAGCTACCAACAAATCAATGCCTCTAGTTGTGCCTTTAATTGGGACAATGGCTGCGAGCTCTTCGGTAATTTCAAAATCATCTTTAACTGTCCACACTAAAATCGCCGACTGAGTAGTAGACTTGATGTCCAGTGCTTTTGTCAAGCGCCAAGGAATACGATGGAAACTTTCCCGCTTTTGCAATTAAAGTTTCCTCTAGTCTATAGAACTACCAAAATCTTCAACACGACGAGTTATAGTCTGTCTCGACAAGCCTATCTTTACAAATGCCTTCTTATGAGAATGGCTTTGATTGTTTTGCTATCCAGCTGACTCCTGGTGCATAAAAAGTTTCTAGGAGACATTTTGATAATTTTTTCACTCTATCTTGTCTTATCGCCAAAACATCAAAGATTTTATGTGTGTACGATGTACCAAGTCTAAACACACAGCATTGGCAAATATTATTTATGAAGATAGTGTCTCACAGATCAGATAACGTCATAGAGAGTAGTAAGAGATCGAGTGTGTAAACGTCTATGTCACCTTTATGTATCGATATCTCGATAAACAAATTTTTGTATATTACATCAGTCGAAAAATTGTTTTACTCAATTTTTTTTATTCAATTCCGAAAAATACAGCGCGGGCCACTCGAAACCGTTCTGCGGGCTTCATGTGGCGACCCTGCACTAAATAGTACCTGTGTTGTGAGATCCGAAACATAATACATAAAGACAATTAAATTAAACAAGATTGAAAATAGTGTAAGAACTGTATATATGTCAAATAGTATTTTTCTATTTTGAATCAATTTATTTCTAATCGTTATAGATCTTCGAAAGGGTCTTAAAATTACATTTTTTACTTTTTACCAATAAAGCTTATTTTGGCTGCTTTTGATTAAGTTGTAATGGAACTCTTCCAAAATCCGCCACGGAAAATTATGTACGCCAGACTGACAACTGTGTAGCAAATCGAAAGCGACAATATTTCGTTTGTTTTCAGTTTGTGAAATCGTCGATAACTCCTGGAGGACCGTGGTTTCTACACTTGCTTTATTGGTATCTGCCATTGGTCACACAATATTACCAGGCGTAGCATACTTCCTACGAGATTGGAGAGAATTATGTCTATGTTGTGCACTATGCTGCATTCCGTACTTTTTTGTTCATTTTTTTATCCCGCGATGTCCAAGGTATTGTTTTAACAGTTAACAGTTTAAAATTGAGATGGTTACTTATTACAAATCTCAAAATACCCATCAACATGTCAATTAATTCTAAATGTTGGCATAAATAACGAACTGAAGTATGCTATTGATAATACACTGAGTTTAATTTTATGATAATTAAATTATGTCCATGTCTGAATGTCTTAATCATTAATAATGGAAAATCATTGCTATACTAAATTTCGCGTTTAATCACATTTCAAAGCTGTATTATTCAGATGGTTGTTGTCAAAAGGATTGGAAGATGAAGCAAAGAAAACAATCGAAAAGATTGCAAGAAGTAACAAAGTTGAACTTTTGGATATTGATTGGAATCTGGTTGTTAAAACGGAAAGAGAATACATTGAGGTATTCTTTATGTAAATCCGCATACACACACATCATTTACATCACATTTAATTCTCGTTCAGCGGACGCATGAATACATTTGTACAATCGATCTGCCGTGATCTTACATGCTGCTAAATCAGTCTCATCGTGATATAATATCGGAAAAAGCGTTGTGTACGACTTACTTTCCAACATTGTAATGGACAAATAGACTTTTAAATAAAAAATAATAGTTTTAATAAAGTATAATACAATTGCATTCTTTAAAATTTTTGTGAATTCACAGGCCGTCTCTAAACAGAAAAAATACGTTATCCCAGACCTTTATCGGCCTCCAATGATGCGAATTGTTTCTTGTAACATAATTTACTTATGGTTCGTTGTGAGCTTGGTGTTTTATGGACTTACTCTTAACGTTGGAACACTCGCAGGTAATTCACAATTTGTTTCAATATTTATCACAAAAAAGTAATTAAAAATGCGTTTCGTAATTCCCTTGATTTAAAACCTTTCTGAAACGCCGTCTCTCAAAAACCATGTAAAGTTGATGCTTCTTGATGATTTTCAGGTGACCCGTACGTCAATGCAACATTGAATGCTTTTGTTGAAATTATCGGATACCTTTTGTTCATTGTTTGTGCAAAACCTGCAGGAATGAGAATTACTTCGAGTATTTCATATTTACTTGGTGGAATATGCTGTTTAACAACAATGTTTCTAGCACAGTTTGCAGATGGTAATGAAGGTAAGTTGCACGAGCAAACCTATGGAAAAGTATACAATGTTACATCGAATTATATCCAATTATCTGTAGTATCTACTTTTATAATCGTAAAATTCATCCAAAATATTTTGTTTTCAGCCATGATAGAAGCAAGTCGGTGGATAGCAATATTAGGTAAATTATTTGCGAGCATGTCGTTCACTGTTGTCTACCAATATACCGTGGAGCTATATCCAACTGTCGCAAGGTATAATTTTTGTAGCGATAAGAACAGTTTTTATCTTGAATTTCGTTAGTAATACTCTCTTCTGGCTGTAAGGCTAATTTTTATAACTCCTTCTGTTTTATTAAATGATTTCACCAAAGTACGTTTCATCACATTTCAGGGGGACAGCAATGTCAATGGGATCTATGTCTGCTAGAATTGGGCCAATAATCATGCCATTTACTCTGCAACTACAGCAAGCAATTCCTTGGCTGACTCAGGTATAGTACGATGTTATTGATCTAATTTTATCTTTTTAAGAGTTTTTTTTTTTCGTTACGTGTGTCTATTGTAATTGAATGTTTAATTCAACAGACCATATTTGGCACACTTGGATTGATAGCCGGAGCAACAACATTGATGCTCCCAGAAACTTCAAAAGAAGACTTGATGACATCAATCGATCAAGCTGAAAATTTTTACCGAAGAAACATGAGAATTATTGCGAAACTGTTCCGAAAAACTGAAGTATATCAAAGGTACCTTAAAAATTTGCATACATTTAGAAATGAGTTACACATAAATGATTCAAATCCGGAATCAAAAACAGTATACATTGCAAACTAAAGACAAAACGTGGCCGTTTACCACACGAGCATAGTTTTATACGTGTCTATTTCTTCCTCTTCAGCGAATCAAACGACGATAAAAAACCATCGACATCTGGCGAACTCAAAGAAGGATATGTATTTAAATGCGATGATGAAGATATGTATTTATATACATCAAAGTTATGAAGCCATCTCAGTAAATATACTATATTTACTGTCGCCTTTTTGTTGAAGACAATGATATACCATATAATGAAATTTCAGGTGCACAATATTGATGTTTTTTCAGCATCTTAATCTTCTTATTAACCATACAGCGGTATTACACCTGTAAGATGGCGTTAGATCAGTCTATATAACATTATTGCTGGCAATGACGACAAAATTTATATTTCATCAATATTTTAAACAATAGAGGTTTTGGAACTTTTCCGGCATAATTGAGATCATTGTAGCTTTTTCTGTTTTGCTGACTCTTACATCTTTGATAACCCTTGTAATTTATTATAAATTAAATTATTCTAAAGAAATGTCTATTCGATATTTTGATGTGATGTCGATTCTTCCTAATTCAATAACCTTTTTTAAATAGCCGTATAAACATATTAAGAAAAAAAACTAATATATATATATTATATTATTTTGCATCGTGTGATTTTACTACATATACCGTAATTTTGATACTCGTAGGGTTAATTTCGATTTCAGCTGGCAATAAAATATTTGTATGCGTTTATTATGCTGGGTTAAGTGTCATTCATCAGTCGAAGGACTTACCAGGTCCAGCAAACTGCCAACGAGTATGAACAATCAAAGAAATAACTGGTTTCAATGAGTGATAACGTTGCGGTACGCTCCAAGCAGATAGATACACTGAAGCGCTTGTCAATGACGCGAAATGCAAGAAAGATAAGCAAGAAGTTATTAAAGAACTAAAACATTTCGATAAATTCTATAGCAAACTCTTTGTTAATCACTGGATTTGTCCACAATATACGATTGTGTCCATGGGGAATAGCAGCGTCCAAATATGCTTGGTCAAAATTAATAAGTAATTGGAACAGTTTACATGTGTGTGATTGGACGGAAATGCGATTGTAGAAAGATAGTGCAAACTAACGTGCAAGGAAATAACGAGCAGCATTTTTTTCTAGCGTTCCAAAATGAAACGTGGCATGTCGAGTCAAAACCGTAACTTTTGCAGCCAATATAATGCGATTCTCTTGATATCGATCTAAATGGACTACTTTGCCTAATTGTTCAACAATATATTTTAGCTTACATTTGAAACGGAATCTCACGATTGTCAAGCTTGAAAATTAACTTGCCATATTTTAACAAATTTGTACATCTTCAATAGCATTTCCTATAATTTTTCCCGTGCTTCCTATTCTTTCCTGTGCTTCCTATCCTTCCGTTTCTTGTTTTCGCAGCCTACTCAGAATCCTGTCTGCATTTCTATCGCTGATTATCGCTCAATCTAAACGTTTCGCAGTAGACAAAGTGACAAAGTAATCTCACAACAAATTAGACTTCAAACACACTTCAGACAACAAATCAACTTTTTAAATAATTATACAAGTTCCAATAGAGTTGATATTTAATCAAATTCAAAATTTGGAAACATATTACGAATACCGTAACCCCTTCGGATGCTGTGAATGAGCGAATAGAAAGTTATAAATCAAAGTATTGAACATTTTACAACTCTTTTTATACACAATCACAAACTTATTTCAATTAAAATCGACATCTTAAATCAAGTTCGGTCATCACAATTTAGATGTATGCTGGTACATTTCCCCTTCGTTATAATCGAGCTCATATGCAGTGAGTTCATCAGATTTTTTCTCTTTTTCTTCGTCGTCGTGTTTACTAGAGCATATAAAATTTGTATTTATAGGGTGATTAGAACTTAGAAATCATTGTGTAATTTACACATAACTACTTAAGGCAACACAAGAGCTGCGTAGCTGAAGACAATTGAGTTTTCAGTTGCAGTCTTAAGTGAAATCAAACAATAATATACAATATGACATACTGACTAAGTTTTCTAATACATCTTAAGATTTTTCTCGTCAATTTTACCCATCTACAAAATTAATTGAAAACCATGTTATCCAATTCTTGGGCATTTTTTTTAAGTTCCGAAATTCCTTGACTTAAAAGGTTTGCTCTTGTTACAACTTAAAGCTCAACCCAGCTCGAAGTCTATCAAACCCGTCAGATATGGTGTTACCTCAAAGTGACAAAGTCAACTGCTCTTAAAGGTAAAGCTGGCCTGGTCTTTAAAATTATGATGGGATCTTCCCCCCCCCCATATATTTAGGATAATGTATCTATTGGCCAAGCGTTTTCTGACCCATACAGATTCCAATACTTCCAGCAATAGTCACTTCTCAAATATTTAGTATATATATATACAACATGTACTTTGCTGCCTATCCGACTTAAACGCCAAATAAAAATCAGTGTCGTTTCGATTATAAATTTGTTTAACGATACCTATGGTAAATATCAGTTTTTCCCCATAGTTTTGCAATGGTTTTCATGTTTTTCCTGTAGAAATTTTCAGCTTGATCAACTGAAGTCATCATATCTGCTTTTGATGTTTCGGGAAGCATCAATGAAGTAGCCCCGGCAATGATAGCAAGAGTACCAAAAATAGTCTGAAAGGCAACGATTTAATTTTAATATTATAAAAAAATATCTGATTCTAACAATTTGAGACCAAAGCAAATGTTTTGCAAGCAAAATATAAAAGAAGAAATTTGTAATGAGGCTCGCTAAAACTCCCGTGAATTTGAACAACATCGCATTCGCGATTTTACTTCTTAATCTGGTTCAGTGTGCAGTGTCACCCATCAATCGCTTTAGTTGCATTATGAACCAATATGTCTACAATCCACACGTTCCTTTTAGGTACATTGTTTTACCTGTGTAAGCCAAGGTATTTCTTGTTGAATTTGCAGTGTGAACGGCATAATGATTGAGCCTATCCTGGCTGACATAGATCCCATTGACATTGCGGTACCTCTGATAAATGAGTAAAGTATACAAGAAAAGACTTAATTAAATATTTACCATGCACACAAGATCAAATTCAATAAGATTATGTATAGGCCTACATATGTGAAGACAAATTCTAGCAACTCATTCTTTGAGTGTTTGTTACCTTGTCATTTTTATATACCAAGCTATCTGAGGAAGAATTAGTATGCAAAAATTGCAATTATTCATAATAGTCAGGGAAATAAATATGGATAAATCGAAATATGAATAAAACGTCTATGTTTGCGTTATATGTACTAAATGTAAATTCAAAAACACGGGCTACTCATTCAAAAAATGACATGGCATGTATATAATACTGCACTCATTGTTTAATTATTTTGTGTCATCAAAATTATCAGCATTCTTCATTTTAACTTAAAATCACGGTGATACTGAGCTGTATCAAAACGTTTTGTAGAGAATCAGTGTTAAATTTCGACATAACAAGATCATGGGAAGGACGTCTATTTTGTAAAAGCGTATAGCCTCACCTCGTAACAGTTGGATACAGTTCAGCAGTATATTGATACACAACAGCAAATGACATGCTTGCAAAAAGCTTTCCCATTATTGCTACCCATCGACTTGCCTCAAGCATTGCTGAAAAATTAATATTAAACTTTTTGGATGTTTCTTGTTGTTGCGAACAAAGGTACGAATATCCTACTGTATTCACCCTATGTGATTCAAGATTCTTGCTACACACTATAATACAAAAGTATCTCTGTAGCGTTCCATCTGACCTAGGTCAGACTTCTTCGGGTACGTGTATTTCACAATGAGCCAATGAGGTGAAACGAATAAAACATATTCAATAATTGATTGATTAATATTTAGGACTCAGTGATATTAATCACCCCTCTAGGATACAGTTGTTCGTTCTAAAGTGAGAGTCTTTATTTACAGTTTGAGAACAAATGTACATTCTCGATTTTGATTCCGACAGGTAATATTCGAGTCTCTTTACTATACCTGCGATAAAATATTTTTCTAATAACGCTGCAAAGTATTTCAGAATAAATCTAGGAAAATTAAACAGAGCTAATTTGCAGAAAAGTTTGAATATTTATATGTAAATATATGCATCCCCACCTGCGTCACCACCAGAAAACTCAACCAACAGCATAGTTGTGAGACAACATACACCACCAAGAAAATAAGATAAACTCGATGTCAATCTCATTCCTAAAAATCTTGCGCTTGCGAGAAATAAAAGGTATCCAATGATTTCCACAAATCCATTTATTGCAGCATTCACATATGGATCGCCTGTGTAAAAAATATAAGTTTGCAACCATAATACCATATGTTTTTTTTCAGATACATAAATAGTGAAATGGGAATTTTATGGAGTTACATATTATTTGTTTTTACTTTTGTTGTAATATTTTTTTTTCGTGCAACATGATTAAATGATACGTGAACAGTGAAAACCATTTCAAAATGTGTTTTCTCACCTACGAGTGTCCCAACGTTTAATGTCAATCCATAAAACACCATGCTCACAACAAACCAGATGTAAATTACATTGAGCGATACAATTCTCATTAGCGGTGGCCGATACAAATCAGTGAGGAAATATTTCTTTTCTCCTGCCGATGCCTGAATAAGATTTATCCTTCAATTATATAATATGTTTACTAAAAAATATGTTTTCAGTTCGCTTGATATATCTTTCCAGAAACTGACCCTAATATTTTCCATTTCGGTTTTCACAACAAGATCCCAATCGTCATCGTTTAATTCCACTTTCTTGCTTTTTGCGTAGCGTGATATTGTTTTCTTTGCCTCATCATCATGACCATTGGTTAGAAGCCATCTGAAATATTCAATGCCGAAGATTATTCAATCGTTGAAAGGTAAATTGTGCCACTCATGTTAAAGTTATGAGCATAAAAATACATTCTTACCTAGGAGATCTTGGTATAAAAAAAATATCAAAACATAAGGTAAATTCAGCAGGGAGACGCATATGCACAGGTTTCTCCAGTCCCGCAAAAAGTATGCGAGTCCTGGAAGAACGGTATGCGAAAACGCAGTTGCCATTTGAGCATACATTCCTACTATTGATCTCGATTTCTTATCGGAGATTTCACTCACTAAAAATAAAGTTGGAACAATTAGTTTATAGAGATGGATGTATAAAGTATGCAATTTACTCCAGATAGTTTTAGCCGATTTCAACTGCTGTATAATCTGGCTATCTGGCTCAGCTCAGTCGTGATTCAACCAGCTAGCTAGCTTTGTATCAAGTCTATAAGTGATATAAGTATTCGATACTCAAGTTGACTTTTTCTTATGAACTTCAGGGAAAATTGCCTAAAGTCGTAAAATGGGAATTTAATTTACCACACAAAGAAACAAAAATGAATTGAAATATTACCATAGGTATAATACGCCACAAAGCACGGAATTCCAGACATAGCTGTTAACACTCTCATTGCAATGTACACTTCATACGTCGGAGAAAATGCGACACCTAATCCAGTTATTATCAACGCGATGCACAATATCAACATGCTCAATTTTCTTCCAAACCTAATAAAAATACAAAATCGTTCAAAATGGCAAATTGAACTACAGGTGAGCCGAATTCTCTACTAATTATATTTATCAAAGTCAAATTGTCCAAAAATGAACGTGTTCCTCAAAATTTATCCATCATATTAAATACCGCTGTATGATAATAAAATATAAATAAATATATGCCAGTATATAAGCAGGATTCTTATTTCAGGCGCGGTAAACGCTTTATAATTAAATTGAGAAAATCATGGCACTTACCTTATTGTGATGTTCACGTTGTAAAAAAGACAAATGATTTCAAGTTAAAAAGATAATTGCTATTGAATATTAACATTAAGACATGGCAGTAATTAATGAATATAAATCCACTCACCAATCCATCATTGGACCAACGAGGAAAGAACCAACAAAAACACCGACGAAATACATTGAGTTTGCCAGGGAATCGAGTGTTGTTCTACCACATATAAGATCCCACTACATACATAACAAAAATATCCTGTTTACATCACCGCGTGATACACGATACGTTTCCAATATTATGACAGGTAACAGCATTGCTCTGCACTAATACTGCGTTTAAGTGTCAAAATCAACTTAACTGTGGATTTAGTCGATGTACAATGAGATAATTATTCACTTTCCTATACTCGTGTTAAAAGCAACTCCGGAACTGCATGTTATGTAACTTCAGTTATTACCTTCCATTGCATAATAAGAACGATGAAGCAAGAATTTTGGCAACAAATGAGGCTATAATATATACTTGGTGGGACTATGGACTACAGATAAAACTTGCGTTGTGAGGAACAAAATTTTGCGATAAAACTTCGTTTATCAAAACAATGACAGCCTAAAAAAGAACCTCAGAAACAGTAGTTTCTTTGTAATATGTGTCGTCGTATGTGTATCCTTGATCGCATTCCATTGTTCCAGATTGAGGATTATCTAAACATGACAAATCCCCATCACCATTGCATCTTGATAAATTGTAATCATATCTGTAACACGGTTCTCCAGGCTAGATTAAAAAATATGGCTCAGAATAAAAATAAATCCTTCCTAATATCTACTAAATCTAGCTAGATATCTGGCAAAATTATTATGCCTATCCAATTTATCAAGCAAACTGTAACGTTTTAAGCTATCTTCCTACATCAAATAAATTAGAGATTTTTAATGATACAATTGTAACTCACCGGGATCAACAATTCCGTAATATTTTCTTCTGACATATCTGGATAGATATTTGGATCGTCAAGCGGGGGTACAGCACACCTGAATATCAATAACTTTATCAGAAGCAAATTTCTACTCGAACTTTATTGCTGTAACTTGTGATATGAATACGTTATATTCTCAATTATCAAATTCTGGTATTTTATTTAGCAACGATTTTAATATATTATGAAACCAATACTTGAAGATTACTGCTCAATAGAGTAGCTCACACTGGTATATATATATAAATTTTACCTGTATTCTGGAACAGCGCTGAAAAATACAGATGTCTGAGACATAAATCCTGTACCGAATGGCAACAAGCTGACGACTAGAACAAGCCCCACTTGATACATACTGATTCCACCGAGTTTTTCCTCAATGAGTTGATCCAAATCCATTTTGGTGAAATATTTACTACAATGTCTAAATTGTTCATTAGAATATACATAACAATATCTTAAGTTTAATTTAATTAATTGTCAATCTCATCTAAATCATGCCTCCAATATGCAACCAATACGTTTATCTTTTGTTCAGCGGAAAAAAATCTCTCCGCGTGGAAGAAAACTTTTATCAGTGATGAAAGTAATATCAAATGATTCATCCATTATTTTATATATATTTGTAGACTTCAATTTCACGCCTATGTAATTATTTTGGCCTGGTTCATGACTTCTGGTTTGTGTTCAGCCTATTTTCCTCGTACTTCGTCGAACTCAGTTATTGCAAACCTTCCATTAATTAATCGGCTCAAATATCGCGATCGAAAAATATTCTCAAATGCACACGGCATGTAGTGCTGTTGGGGATGTCAGCTTAAATTACTGATAAAAGTTAAATTACTGATAAATAAACTAAACAGTTTTACATAACAATAAATGCAATGCCATAAGATCGAGTTTCAGAAAAGCTGTATCATATATATATGCCAGTTTTATAGCAGATTTAGGAGCTGTTTTCTTTTTCTTAAAAATTAAGCAAGATTGGTTTTTAATTATATAAAAACTTTTCATAAAAACGGAGATTAAATGAGTAACTGCAACGTCATAAACACAGCAAAAAATAGAAGCTAGAAGTTTTTACGCTGTGATGCTTCTCGCGTATAGAAGTATCAAGTAACAGTTCGATATTAAATACAAAATGAAGACTAAAATTTACCAAAAATAAAATCAATAACTTTTATGTTTTTATTAAAAAAACAAGCAACTCAAGGAAATCTTCAGGCGACTAAACTTTGCGTCGCTACCCACACGCTAGAAACACTGCTCTAGTTATTTCGATGCTTTTATTGAAGAGAAAACTTCTAACGTGAATGAATTCATTAGTGAAATGTGCAAACATTTACGCAACTCCTCGTCTACGATTAGCAAACACTTTTATTTTATCTACATTATATTTGGAAAGATTTCATACTCGTGGTTAATCTTATGCACACATGTAGGTATGCATGTACCGATAAAATCGGGTATCATAGTTTCCGACAGCGACTTGTTAGTATTGCCGCCAAATTTGGAGTTGCAAATCCCCAATGGATGTTGGTCTCATCAAACTTCAGAAAAATAGTTTGATTTCTATTTTGAAAAAGCTTTGATTTGCCACACTTGGAAGAATGTTTATTTTTATATGTTATCGATCATCTACAAATATCCATTTCAAAATGCTTAATAAAAAACGATGGGACTCTACGAAAATTATTAAATCGGTTAATTGGTTGACCGCTTTCAGATGATTACCCATTTAGACCGTTAACTCACATCCAAGGTAGCACTGAATTTTTCAATGTACAATAAATCTCCTAATTCATATTATCACCAATGACTTGAGCCAAGTTATGCAACAAACCCATAAACTCTGACTACCAGTAATAAAAATATGTCAATACAAAGTTCAGAGTAAGTTACCGATCAAATAACAGTGCCAATGATTCGATCAAAATTACATGGCAGTGTTTTTATGAACGGCCATTGAATTGAAAGTTAACAAATGAGAATTCTGTCGACATAACATAAGTAAATCCAAATTTTAGCAATGTGGTACCGAACACATTTACAGTGTTTACCACCGCCCTGAATACAAAATTAAAAGTTTTTTACATGGGTTACATGTAATGCCAAATAGCTAATTAAAAATACTTTCAAACATTCAAAGTAGTTCGCATTTTTTTGTAAAATATTGGCCGAGCAGAGCGACAAGTTACTTGATAGACTCTTTCAATCCGAGGACAATTTCATACCAAGTTTTAGAGTCGTTACATAACAGGTCTTTACCATTGCAATACGGCGTGTAATTTAGGGTCGCAGCGAATGCGATGCGAACCACACTGCCTGTCCAACCTTACCCAGCGATATTACTGTGGCTTGTCATTCAAATGAATCGCAGTTCATTGTAATTCGATATCACTTGTCCGGAAATATACTATATTTACTAGCGTGCATTTTATGTTTACCTTACATGATATTTGAAAGCATTGATGATTGTTTTTATTGGATTTGTGGATAGTATTTGCACAGAAAATATTTTCTTTCAACAAAACCTTTTGATTAATTTTCTTTTGTTGCCATGAAAACAATGATACTTACTTTTTGTAATAATTAGAAAATCAAATAGCAACTTGTCAGTGCTTAGTCGACGACTTTAATATAATAAATTTTATTCGAATGCGCTACGCCCTAAATAAAACAGTCTTCGTAAATATAAAATCATTCTATTTTTAACTTAAAATACTTTTCCCAAAAAATCGTCGAAGAATATGTTGAGATTGTTGAGCGATAGCTATCTTTATGTTCGTCTATTTCAACCGCTGAGCCTTTTGAGAATTGATGTAAGTTAGTTTCCAATTCAGTACTTCAAAGACCGACTTTATCGTTTTAATAAATGCAATGAAAAAACAAAGTCAGAGAATAAAATATCTCCACTGTCTAAACTTTGCTTTGTGAATAACTACTCCAAAATGCAATTACCAAATTCGGTTGTGTGCTTTTACCGCCGTTGTTAAGTAGTAACATTTTAATCATTAAACTATGCGTATAATCTGTCACTTATCGAGTTCTAAAATAAACAATTTTGCACTGTCCCAAAACCTCTCCGATCTACTGCACTACTCAGACATAACCAATCTCATCTGTATCTATGTACATGCTTGATTTAGAACAAATCAGTGTCAATTGACCTGAAGACGTTTCGTGCCCCGATATATAATACAAACAAATCCCAATGATATTTGCAAATTCTCTGGCTAAATACGTGATAAGAAGATAATCATAATTCAAAAATCGAACACGAACGTACACTTTTGAAAATTCAGTAAATTCGCCATTAAATGTGGCACAATAATTGTTTACCCATTGCA